TGGCCTTCTTGGCCACGAGGGCACACTGCTGCCTCATGGTCAACTTGTCGTCCACCATGACACCCAGGTCCCTCTCTGCAGAGCTGCTCTCCAGAAGGTCAGTCCCCAGCCTGTACTGGTGTCTGAGCTTAAATTGTGTATGGCTGGTGCTTAAATTGTGTATGGCTAGAAACCATGTAAAATTTTTTTTTCATAAATTCATCTGCACTATCTCCATTCTGTTAGAGACTGAAATTGTATTTTATCCAAATGACTCACCTCGATTTCTTTCCTAAGCTTAGCATGTAACACTTTTTCTTCTTCCAGCAAATTTGTTTTTTTACTGATGAGCTCTTTCACTTCTGTGATTTCTCTTTTAAAAAATGTAATTTCTTCCTGCAAGTGTAAGTTTGGATATAGAAATCTATTCTTTAAATGAGTGTACAATACTTCTATTAGTCTTAATTTAAAAGTCACACATTTCAACAGCCACTTCATTAATAAAATGAGATGAGATAAAGGTATAATGATGAGATGAGATAAAGAATAATAATACACAATTTAATTGTTTGACTTAAAAATGATTTTGACTATGTAGCAAATCATAGGGTTTCAGGTACTTAAGAAGATATACTATTGATCTGAAATATGCAAAAAAAACTATATCAACACAATAATTTTAAGTAATTTTGATCTTTAATATTGTTTAAATTCAAATTATTGGAAAATCAAGGAACTCTATTATTCAAGACAGATCTTTTTCTAATGGGTAAATATGTTAATGGGACTTTACATATCAGTGTTTAGAGATTTACTTGTACAACCAAATTTTCATCATTTTACTATAACACGGTAACACCAGATTTTCAGCAGTGACAGCTGCTTCACAGCTCAAATTTGTGACTTCATATATGTGTTTGCTTAAATATTGATAGTTTTGCAGCGAAAGCTTTCTGGTTTTTACAGTTGTTAAAATGTATGGCAATTAAGTGCAAACTTAATGTGCTAGAGATTAGAATACCAAAATTAATATATTTTCCTTTCTCCTTCTTTCCATTACACTCTTAACAAATCTACCTCCTGCTGGTGCACAGCTCAAACGTAGTTTCTAACCTGACAACAAAGCTAGACAAATACTGTGCTCTTATATGAAAAGTGTAACACTGTTGTAATGATCCAGAGACTCCTGGAAGGTGGATATGGAACTTTATCCAACAACCTACCTAATCACACAAATTATTGGTAATGATACATTGAAATTTACTGCTCTGTAATATTTTTCATAGCTGAGTTCATTCTATCATGTAAGATGAACCTTTTACAATAATATGCAAATAATAGTGGCTGATGATTTTTTTTAATTGAAGTCCTAATTTCTTCATTTAATTTAGCATTGTAAATTAATTCATACTCCCTATAGTCAGTCCATTATTAGAGTAAACACATTAGGCAAAATAAGCATATCAGATAAGCTATGCCAATAATAACTCCCCCACACAAACAGTAAATACAGTACCTGTACTTGTTTCATAACTGTTCCTTCTGGATTCTGGAGATCATGCATTAATTCCTCCTTCTTTGCTCTCAGCTCTTTAACAACAGCTTGCTTTTTAGCAAGTTCAATCATAACTGGCATTTTACTTTCCACCTCCCAAAAGAGATGTTTATGAGCCTTTATTTTTTCACGATACTCATTATTTCTTGCAAAGGTCATCTCAAACTCTTCTTGCACTGTTTCTGCATCAAACCTCAGCTTTATATTTTCAGAATACAGGGCTCTGACTTGGGCCTCCAGATTTTCACAATGATGTTTTGTCATTTCTATGGCATCATCTTGCTGATGTATTTCCCTTTCTGTTGTTGTTGTTTCTAGCAGAATAGACTTCATTTCTTTTTCAAGTTCCTGAAACTTAGCCTGTAAAATATATTCATTTGGGTATTTTTATTTGAAACAATACTATGTATACAGTTATAGACTGTATTTTTTACTTATTCATCTTCCTTTTCACTTGCTAATATGGTTGGAATGGAAGGTGATAGTGACATAATGCAAGAATGTGCTGTGCTAGATGTGTCCATTTTGATATAAAAATGAATCCCAAACATGAAATAAAGTATCCTTCAAAATGCTTCAACTTATTCATATTCACAAAATATGTAAGTTGTGGTATACCACACACACACGCAAGTCTTCTTAAAGTTTGCTTAGAGCAGCAATCTGCTTTAATCTAAATCACAATAAAAGTAGCTAACTGCACAAAATATGCTTATAAACACAGACACAAACACACAAAATGGCATTTGGGTTGACTGAGCTTAACTAGCTTTTCCTGTTCCAAGTGAGATTAATCTCAGCTATTTTTAACCCTTTTAAGCATCTAGTTTAACCACTACCTATGTTTCTTCATTCATGAGAAGTGAATACCTGCAAGATCTCCCATCAGGAGAGGTCTAAGATGGGAGAGCTGAATTACTATCTCGGAAGTGTTTGTCTCTCTTTGTTGACTACAGAGGGAGCAGAGATGACTAATTCAGGTGTAACAACTGCCATGACATAAATCAGCTATGATGAAACCCACCCTAAATACCAGCCAAGAGTCATGCATTAAGTGAGAAGATTAGTATCATGATTTCAGCCATTGTATTTTCCTTACTGGGAGTGTCATGAGTGTCACAAAGTCTTAATGTTAAACGTCTTGAACAGATTAGGATATTATGTTAAGAATAAAAAGTATTCTTTATGTGTAATATTGAATTTTGAAATCTCAAGTTACAATATTAGGAGGGTTTGTATCAGTCCTGGCCACCACCTACTGACAGGCAAGCAAAAGATCTTAACGGCAAAGATCTCAAGTTTTCAAAAGAAAATTGTTTTACATGCCTTCTGTGACCACATGTACACATGGGAACAGACTTAAAGATGGAAGAACAGTCTTTTGACGTTTAAGTTCCTAATTATTTAACTTCTACTAACATGGAATTGTAGAATTGTATGGAATTCCTTCCTTCCTTCCTTCCTTCCTTCCTTCCTTCCTTCCTTCCTTCCTTCCTTCCTTCCTTCCTTCCTTCCTTCCTTCCTTCCTTCCTTC